TGTGAAAGAGAGTCTGACAGTATTTCTCAGACGTGCAAGAGGATTTATATCCATTTATATATGATTGATCATATTTCATCTTATGTTATTATTCTAGTTTATCACTAATTTTTTTTCGTGTGCAGCAAGTTAAGCCTAGATTGTCTAAATATGTATGATCGTTCCAACCCTCCTTTATTACTTTTGTTGTACACATGTTTGTAATTATTTCTTCGAATATATGTGATGTATGTGTGAAATATGTATGTGTATGTGATGTTTTGTGCATTCCATGTTTAATTCATTCAATTGTACCATGCATTATTTTATTTTACTTCGCCCGTTCATAATATTTACATTCATATTTTTCATTCATTCATACATCATCATTTATTTTTAAAACTAAATTTAGCATTTTCATCAAAGTTATTTTCCATTAAAAACATCAATTAAAATTTGGCATTTCATTAAAGTCATTTTTTCTTGCATTAAAAAAATAAAAAAATATGCTTCATGATTCGTGTCACAACTTTAACATGATTCGAGTCATGAGATTTGAAAATTTTGAGTTTAGCACTGTGAAAATTGATTCGAGTCACAAACACAACGTGATTCGAATCACAACTCATTTATTTGAAATTTTTTAAAGCATGATTTGAATCACACTTACAACATGATTCAAATCATGAAAACAAAAGGCACATCTTTTGTAACCGTTAAGCATTTTCTACAACATAATTATCACACAATAGAGTCAAGAGATTACAAGTTAGTAGTTAGGACTCAAACTAATTTGTTTTGTGAACTTTCCTAAAATAGATAGATAGTTGGTTACTTCACTTGTAAACTTTCCTAATATGAAAAGGTTTTGTTAGAGGTAGTTTGAGAGATTTATTACAATTTAATCAACTCACGCTTAGTAATACTACATCCTCACATATGTATAATTAACTTTGTATCAGTTTTACAAGTTAATGAAGTCATTTACACTTTATTCATAATAATAATCTTATTAATTAAGTTAAAGAATTCTAATGCATTTATTACATGTATAGTTGTTACTTAAACAAAATATATTTTATAACTATTTAGTTATATTTTTTGTTTCAACCAATGAATGGAATACAAGTCTAATCACATTATGTCTCCTTTCAAATATGCATAAATTAAATAAACACACACATGTCATTAAACTTTGTCAAAAATGCTTCCATGTCATCCATTTCACTTAAAAATATTCTCTTCAAATACACAGGTTTATAAGAGAGAATACACATATACCTAATGCTTTAAGTTTTTTTGATGAAGATGAGTTGTCTTCCTCTCTTATGATCCTGAAGCATTTGGCACCCGTTATTGCTTATGGCTTTCCCAAACTCTCCAACACTAGTAATAGAGAGCATCAGTTATTATTAAATCATTAATTAAAATGTAATTTATGAATGGGTAAAATGTAGGATTTATAAGAGAGGAGATAAATATGCCTAATGCCTTAAGCTTTTGGGTCGAGATATGTCATCCCCCTCTCTTATGGTCCGGGAGCATTGGACACCTGATGTTGCTTCTCGCTTCCATAGACTCTCAAACACTAGTATTTGATTATCAATTTTGATTAATTATGAATTTGAATATAATTTACACATTATGATAATCATATGATGATATAATTATAATAATATGTTTTTGTATGATTAAGTGTGTTTAATTTTGTGTGATTGAATTCTATACCATCAAAAAATATAGGGTGTGTGTGTTTCCCCTACAAGGGCATGGAGACTCAGAGACCTAGTAGTTATATTACAAGTTTTGGGGTGAGGGCTAGCTCACAGCGGTGAGGAGCCATGTACGGTGGTTTTTGAGGCTGTTTGAGGGACCGACTCACGTGAGGTGAAATGCCCTATTGGTGACCGCGCTGCTGAGTTGCTGGAGGGTGGTTAGATTGAAGGTGTTAGGGCTACTATAAGTGTAGTGCTCTATGAGTAGTAGTAGATGTGTATGACTTGAGCATCTCTCTTATCCCTTTAAGGAATAGTGTATTTATAAGCATTATCGAGGCCTAAGGTTTTTGCTCCCTAAACATGGTCTTAACTATTCCCCACTTACTAGGAAGGTGATTGATTGACTATCTTCTTGGGGCCAACGAGAACTCTCTCTTGTGTGGGTCGTACACACGCAGATCCTCCCGGGTGAATCTTTTGATCAACAATGCTTATTCTCAAAAGTGCTTCCACTAAGTAGTGATTACTCATGTTAGCTTCGTCGGGAATCAACTCCATATAAGCCTTCTTGAATATACCACCTTCCTATCTTATTTTATGCTCAAGTCCAAGTTGGGACTTATCTAACCACATATAAGGTAACCACCCATGAAAAACAACAAGATAAATAATAGCAAGCAAACAATATAGCACAAATATAAGCAAGTTAGGTTCAACCCTCTCTTGGGGTCTTCCCCAATGAAGTTGTCATTTCTGTTGCGGTGAGAATCGGATATCAATCTATTGATTAACTTGAATCATAAATATTTAGAATTCACCACCGAACTTTATTTTATCCAAGGGAGAGGGAAAATATTGTATAAAACCCTAACTTTGCAATGTAACAACAATGCTAAGAGATATTAGGTTCGGGGGTTGGTTATACCTAAGGAAGGTGTTAGCATCATAAGCATCTATAGTACTCTATTGGAACCTCTTGAATATATTTGTGTTATTGTTTGATATTTGCTTTGAATTGTCTTGTGTTTGAGTTTTATTGGTGAGGATAGGAACCCAAGGGTTTATTACTAAGTATGCTCGCCAAAACTTCACAGTCTTGTGCCTACATATCCTTACAAGGATTGAATCAGAGCATTTATAATTCACCTTACTAGGGATGAATGAACACTTTGATTATGATTAAGGTTCATAATGGGGGTAAGTTTTATAGCTTTAACACTTACATGACTTAACAAAGTCAAAAGAGTTGTAAATTCTACCCTAAGTCAAGTTGTAAGACCTAATGACTCTAACAAGGTCAAAGGGAAGATGGATGTTGCTAAGCTACCTATGACATTAAGTCAATGAGGTATCATTTCCCTTGGATTTGGAAACAAAAGGCAACAAAGGAAGATGAAAGCTAACAAGCTAGCATCTCTTAGGGAATAACTTGACAAAGTTGAAAGTAAACATGAACAAATGGATGAGATGAACGAGTATGATATTCAAACATGATACCACTTGCAAGTAATCAAGGTAACATTCAAGCATGATGTTAATCAAGAAATTATATAAATTATGACAAACTCAAATATACATGGTAACAACTAAAGTATAAAGGCAGACGTGACAACATCTAAAGCAATGACTTGGTAAAGTCACAAAAGATCAAGGTAACAACCATGAATACATTCAAGACTTAATGAAGTTGCAAATAAAAAAAGGTGTCAACAAGGGTAAGCATGTACATGTAAGGATGTTACAACATCTAAGCATACATGAGAGATAGTTCTAACAAGACTAGGAATCATGGATGTAAACAAGAATTCAAATCAATCATAGATATAACAATATCAACATGGTATCATGAATGACAAGTTCAAGTACACAACTAGGGTAATCATGGATTAGAGTTTACTAACACCACTTAATCATGAATACAACACAAATATGGACAATTTGTAACTACACTTAATCATGAATACAATTTAAACATTTAAACATGGATAAGTCATTACAACACTTAAACATGGATACAAGTTCAAACAAGCACGAATATGAAATATCAAACATGGATAAGATCAATCAACATGAATGGATTAAGACATGGTTCAATCATGCACATACAAGCTAAGGAATCATATTGAGACATGGTTCATTATAAACACCACTTAATCATCAAAACAAGTTAAGACGTTCAAGGCAAACAAAGGTAATAACCAAGGCATACTTGAGAAAGGA